AAAATTTCTCGACTTTCGTGGGAATAGAGTATGACTTTACTTTCCACACAGTTATACGAATGCGAAATTGGTACAGGCATTGAAAGCTCTTAATTATTAACTGTGCAAGAGCATCTAGAACACTAAGTTGAGAGCACGCAATAAGCTAATATGCCAAAAACAATTAGTTTTAAATGCAAAGAAGAAGAAAAAGAATAAGAAGAAAATAATAATAATAATAAGAAGAAGAACAAATTTAAAATACGTAAAAACGACAAAATTGTGCTTGAACGCCAAATCAGTCCAAAAAACGGTCTAAAATGTCTAAATTTATCGGAAAACACTTACAGAATTATCGATATGCATGAGTAGCACATAACAACAAAGTAGTATTAGAACTAAAAATGGTTAAAACCACAAAAATGGCCCAATAATCGTTCTTAAAAACGTTAAATCGACCCTAAAACTCACAAAAGCCATTGGTCTCCAATGAGGTATATACAGGTGTGACACAAGAGGGTATTTGTTGGTATTAGTAGCAAAAAAGAGGTAAACAATCGGTGATGACGAAAAACTCCTAAAAAGTTAACATGAAAAATGTGGAGTTTGACGTCACGGAAGGTATACTTCACAAACACTATAACATATTGTGCACTACACGAATATCATTTTACGATCATTTCCTCACCTGTATATAACTCATTGGGTTGTAGTAGCCACAGTTTGTCCGGTGTAAGGGAAGGGATAACAAATGTCGACTTCGAAGTTGGCGTTGAGGAACGTTGATCCTTACCTGTTCTAGCAACATACGGCAATCTATTTGGCCTGTCAATAGACCACGGATAAAGATGCTCCTTATTGATCCGTCTGATGGATAGCGTTACCAAATTGACCAGTTTACATCGTGCTGGGTATTCTGGCAAGTAAAGCGGATCACGCCATGGCAGCTTATGCACAGCCTATTTAATGAAGCTTTTCTGCACCTGTTCGATAGGCAAGTCCTGACTAGATGATACGGTGTCCATATGGGACCGGCGTACTCCAGCATACTGCGGACCTTTAGTGTGTAAACATAGTCGAATGCTACCGTGTTTCATGTGATGAATCCGAAGACCGCAAATGCTTTGGTAATTCTTAAATGATTTTCATGCGCCAATATAATTAAAGGAGTTCGATGCCGATAAGAGATTCAATTCAGCATAAGAAAATTTTAATACTTCTGACAAAGTTGTTTGATTTTTCACGATTCACCATAGAGCAGCCCACGACCCACCAATCGGTCACAACCCACAGCATGAGAAACGCTGCTTTAGAGGAGGTCCAAGAACCTCAGAAAATATATGTCTAGAGATGATCAGGGTAGCTCAGATATCTTAAGGCTGTCGCAATAACTTTAGGGACGTCCAGACTTTTTAAAAACCTTGAACGTTTTTTTCGATGAATTCAGAACAACACCATGAAAATTATGAGAAACTTTAAAAAGTTCAAGGAATTTAACCGAAGTTCAGAAAAATCCTGAATTGGAGTTCAATAGCATTCAATATCAGCATTCAAACAAATGGTCGTAGGGTTGAAACGGTTGTAATCATTGACTTTAAAGTGGCTTGTTTAATTTAACTGTCAGTGAGCTTAAATTATTAAAAAAATTACCATTAAATTTTTCATAAATTTTCTGTGAATTTTATAGAAATTGTGTACATTAATTTTTTTTAATAATTTCTGCTGAAAATACACCTCGCACAAAGATTTTAGCATCTTATTCGGATTCAGGGACCCCATGTTTATAAAATCAGTTTCTAGAAATTTACTCGAATGTAATTTGAGGGGTCGATTAATTTCTATATCGACCCATCAACTCATGAACCGGGGACCAACGGTTTTACTTTCCTTCCGAAGAAAGGCGTGATCAGAGATGTTATGCCTCAGAACATCCCGGCGGCGCCGAATGGGATTGAACCCAGACCCATAGGCATAGCTAGAAGGGGCTAAACTCAGCAACACAAAGGCTTTCGGTGAAATGGCATTCGGCCAAATTTTCCATAGTAAATTTTTTTCGCCCCTCCCTAGCTCGAAACCTGGCTACACCCTTGCAGGCCTGCTGGGGTAAGAGGTAATCACGCTTACCACTACACCATCGGCGCAGCCGAGATCTTCTGAAGAATGGCGACAACTTCAGGACGGCTTCGAGCACCTCAGGGCTGTTCAATTAATGCCTGTATTCCTAGAATTTCCAAAAAACGCAGAGAATTTATGAAAACTTCAGCAGATCATAGAACATTAGAGAAGTTTAAAGATTTCTACGCAGTCCCACTATTTTCAGAGATGTTCCAAATATTTCGAGGCAGATCAGAAATCTTCAGAGAAGCTTCATTAATAAATTGCAGAAGATTTAAAAAAAGCTCTGATGAATTCTGGAATAATCCGTGATTACCTCTCTCCCCAACAGGCCTAGGTTCAATCCCAGTCGGTGCCGCCGGAATGTTCTGAGGCATAACATCTCTGAATTAAAGCCGTTAGTCCCCGGTTCATGAGTTGATGGGTCGATAGATAGGGTCCAGGTGTTGGAGCTGCCTCCCTGGCGTCGATAGCATTGGTGCTCAGCACGGAAAACAAGATCGACGGGAAACACATCAAGGATGATCCGAAAACTTCAGAAAAGTCTAGAATTTCGGGGAAGTTTAAAGATTTTGACGAATTAGTCATTTTATTTCGGCATTCAGTCTTCAATAAAAAGCTTTGCAGTTTTATCATCGTCAACGTCTCGATCTAGGGGTTGGAATCTTCTTCAGGGATAGTTTTTGTTTAAGATTGTAAAGATTTTTAATCTGAACGAAAGCAACTTTATATAATCTGAAGAAGATCAAGTACAAAGACCAAAAAATTGGACAAAAACCATCCTAACGTTATAGTTCATCGTTAAACTGAAAAGTAAATGTTCCAAAAATTAAGTTTTTTAACGTTTTATGGTGAGACAACATAGCCCGTATCCTAGTTTTAATGAGAGAGAACTAAATTGTGTGTACATTTTGAAATTATATTTATGTTGATATACTCATTCAAAGTTTTATATTTCAAGAACTAAATTATTTGAGTTTAACGCATTTTCTTCTACATTCATCGAGCGTTATCAAAGTAACCCTAAATCAAAATACTAATGTTCGGTCAAAATACTAACAAAATAGAGCAAATGCTTTAATTTCCATTAAATATATCAGTAACGAATTGACTCTAGGATCCTCAGTACTTGTTGAAAAAAAAACAAAATTTGAGAAACATGAGTTGCTGCAAAAAATATTTAGAATATATTTAAAAAAAAACTATCAATGTAGCCCCGTTCTACGGTACGTTTCAATTCTTATAAATGTACTTTTTTTTGATTTTGAGGATTATAAGTATGTATTTTTTTTCTGAAAAGGCAATGCAGTTTCCTACAACTTTATTTCAGATCTCATTTCGATTAGATGACCCGTTTTCGTGCTATGATTTATAGAAAAATGTCCTCTACATTTCGCAAATTCAGACAAGGGTCAAAATATCCAAACTCCAGCACCAACTTGGTTCATTGCCCCATTGTAAACAATTATGCAAAGTTCCATTGAATTCGAAGAGGGTTAACTAAAATCGATTCATCAGTTGGCGTGGATTTGCTCTGCTGCTGCTGCTGCTACATAGTTGGGAGACCATTATTGACGCCTTTCGGTGGGGCCACTTCAAACAGATCCCGCCACACCACGGCCACATTCAGCTGGGACTTGTATGCACACCGCTTTCCGATTGCCACTCGAGAAGGGGGGTCAGCCCACAGCTGAATCGAACGGAACATAGACCCAAAGAAGAAAGGTGTGCAACGGTGCGGTCGGTGGCAATACACGCTCCTAACCTCAAGAGCCCACCGATCTGCAGCCAGGCATCCGACTTTGGTATGTGTGTGTGTGTGTGTGTGTGTGTGAATGAGAGTGCTCATTCACGGAGGAGACGCGATCTAACTGGCTCGATTGTAATGAGGTAAAATTAAATTATGTTCTCATTGTTCGATTCCCCGGCCGTTGTCGTTTCCACATGGAAAAGGTGGATGGAGCTAAATGCTAATATGCTGCTGCTGCTGCAATTGAACAAATGGTGTGTATGCCTGTAGCGGGTGGAAGGTGTTTGGAAGCTGATATGATGACGCCAACAAAATGCTCCACCGAAACCATTCATTTCACGGCAGTTAATGTATTCAGTGGTTTGGTTAGTTAGAACAGAGTAGACGCATTGCCAGACCACATGAAACTGTGGTGCTGACCAGGAGGATTGAAGGAATATGGAAGTATTAAGAGGACCCTTCAGAGCCCCGATTGTGAGTTCTCTAGGAATGTACTATTTTCCAATACTGAAATATATTAAATATATAAAATTAATTCCTAATCTAAACATCCTCAAGTCAGATAATCCCTTCAAATTCCCTTAGTTTGCGAGAGTTGACTTTATAATATACTTCTAAAAAATATTGAAATATATGACCATAGTCGTTTTCAAAAATATAGCTACATGACACCATATCGTTACCAGGAATCTCCATTCGCATATCCCATTCACCAGTGACTGCGCTCAAAAGCAAAGGTCACCCATTCAACTTGATTACTTTGCCCCAGCTGCAAAAATTATCAGTTTGTTCAAGCATAATTTACTGCAGCCATTAGCAACGTTCACCCTCTTGGAACAAATTTCAATAGATTTAGAACTCCCGTTCCAACCATCTTCCCGCTCGGTTTCGGGTGCAACTTCCCCTAAATCCCCATGCACGCTACTCAGTTATGATCCAACTTTTCACATGCGGAGGAGACGTCCGAGAAACTTATTTATCTTCGTTATAAATCTGCACCCCAAACTGGGTCGAACCCAGCTCGTTGTGAAGCAAATTTTTTTTCTACCATCAAAATTTATCCCTCACCCTCAACCGCACAAAAGCAATGAAATACCATCGGGGTACCCGACCGTAAAACTATCAAAAACTTTTTCTGATGCTCTTATCAACTTACCTCGTTCTTTATTTAATGAGTTGTTCCAACTCCGGCCGGTCGCCGCAAATCCGTACACATTGGTTCTCCGACGTGGTCCTTCCCGTGAAACACTCTCCCGCCAAGTCTTCCTGGTAGTACGGTTAAACTGTTTCGTAACTATAAGGGATTGAGTTTTATTTCCACTGAGCAGTAGTAGAAGTAGTAAATAGCACTTCCGGCGCGTCCACTTTGTAGTCTTGGATTTGTCCGTCGGCGGCTACCCAGGGAGACGCTGTCTATATTTATGATGTTTACCCAGATGATTAAATATGCACATAGCTGTTGTAGGACTGTAACTCGCTGCTGGTTGAATTGCTGCAATTGGAAGGAAGGATGGAAAAAAATGATCAACACACAGATGTATTTGGATGGATGGCGAGTCTTCCGTAGGAAGTTGAGCAAATTGAACTATTGTAAGCAGACCTGCAACTGATCTCGGAGTAATTTTTAGGCAGTACTTAAAATTAGGAGATCGAATTTTAACGTTTCGTGCACATCACTTAGGGTTGGCTCACAAATTACGTAACGGAAGAAGAGGACGGAGTGGGGATCATAGAAAAGAGCTTCAATTTATTACGAACTTCACGGACTTCAGCGTAGGATTAAGATCTAATTTCCGTCATACTAAGCAGATCCCGCGCTATACCTCTCTCTTACGATCGGGGTTGAACAACTAATGGAATGTTTACATAAAAGATGACTTTTAAATATAGTCACATTTCAATAAGTACCATTAAATTTGATAAAGAGTAACAATTTGTTGAGATATTGATCACGGTGTCTCTGGTAGAACAACATTAATAAAAAAAAATCAGTATCGCTAAAACACTCACCAAACGAAAGCTTCCCGCATAAACGCGAACCATAAATTGACCTTACCTAAAATGGTTAAAAATTGTTTATAATCCCTGCTAAACTTTAACTGAAATGGTTATAGAACTTTACATGAACGTTTAATGATAAAGTTTCAACCTTATGTATTATGGTTTTTTGGAACTGAACCTTACAAATAATGGGTTGTTAAGAACCATTACCATTCCAAATTCTTGTTTTCGCCATACATTTTCAGAAAGAGAACTATATAAGAACGTTTTTACTTATGATTTGAGAACATTAATGGTAATGGTTATGGTAGTCAGTAAGGTCCATTAATGGTTTTGTATTATCGCTCAACTTTACGTAGAATATATCGTGAATTGGTAATCAGTAAATTACAGGCAACCAATTCGCGATATATTCCACATAAAGTTGATCGATGTTACAAAACCATTCGTGGACCTTACTGACTACCATAACCATTACCATTAAAGTTCTCAAACCATAAGTTAAAAGGTTCTAATATAGTTCTCTTTCCGAAAATGTATGGAGAAAACAAGAATTTGGAATGGTAATGGTTCTTAACAACCCATTATTTGTAAGGTCCAGTTCCAAAAAACCATAATACATAAGGTTGAAACTTTATCATTAAACGTTCATGTAAAGTTCTATAACCATTTCAGTTAAAGTTTAGCAGGGATTATAAACAATTTTTAACCATTTTAGGTAAGGTCAATTTATGGTTCGCGTTTATGCGGGTTATCCCTAATAAAATTGTTATGGTTATTTTCCTTAACGACGTGTTCTGGATATAATCCAAACCATTTGTGGAATAGTTCAATCATTTGGGTTATCATTCGTTTATGGTATATTTTTATTAGGGATGCTCTCCCCTTTTAAATGAGACTAACCTCGAAATGTTCTATCGTGGGGTCTAGAATTTTTTTTTGTATGGATTACGGTTGAAAATTATCAAAAATCATCCTTTTCAAAGGATGGTTTGAAAAAAATCAGTGGAACTTATGATTTGGATACAATTTGATCGTAGCAGGTCATGACTCTAAAAGCCTATCTGTCATATGCATTCTGCGCACGTGGTATTGTGAACCAACTGGTATTTGTTCCTTGTAAAAAAGTGAACTTTTGTTGTTTTGTGTCATCGTTTTGATTTGCTGAAAAAAGGTATGGCTCTATCTAATTAAAAAATATTCAAACGTTTTTCTATATACACATATAATTCTAACAGCAAAACTTAAACATGAAACCGAAAAGTCACGAAGAAAATCGTTTGGTGGCGTGCATACTGTGCTTGAAGAAGCTGCATCTTCAACCACTATCAACAAAGGTGGTTGATATTATCGAACAACACTTTCTTCACGATGTTAGATCGTTAGGTTGGTATTATCCTACAAAAATTTGTCGAGCATGTTCGTTTATAGTTTATTCGAATAGTAATCAGAATAATTCTGATAATACCACGCTGTACAAGTATAAGTACAATTTAAAACTTGCCACTCGAAGCGCTGATATTTGCGCATGCGAGATATGCATTGCTGCAAGAGTGATAATTTCACCTAAATCCAAGGGGAAACGTGGCAGACCCAGCTCCTCGGGTAATGCGAAAAAAAAGTGCCAGTTGAGTTTGTGTCCATATTGCTATTCGGAAATGGCAAAAGGTAAACGACATACATGAACGAAGACTGTAGCGAAGCGCAATTTGCTCGGGATTATCCAGAACGCTCAAGATGCTGGAGACCCTGTCGTTGCGAAGTATATTAGGGACAAACCCACGGATGGAGATGGTCTGGTAAAGCTCTCTAATCTACACGGACTACCATCCAGCTGGAAATCCACTACTACTGGTATTCAGGTGAAAAGGAAACCACATCTGTCCGCTGACGATTTGTTTTTGATAAAAAAGACTTGCGATTTGAGTACCAGACGGACATTACAAATGAGCACCTGTCTAAGGGGCTTAGACATCGAAATCTGCCCCAACGTCTCTTCCAAAATAACAATCCTAAACCAATCACTCCAGCGTTTTTTCGAGGTAGCTGAATTACCATTCTATTTGAACGATAGTGAAGAAATGGTTTTGAAGCCAGTGGTCTATTGTAACGACGTGCAAGGATTGGTAGAGCATGTTTCATGCATGCAAAAGAGGCGTTGATTTGACAAGCTCGTTCTGTAAAATCGGTGTTGACGGAGGGGGCGGTTCTTTTAAAGTGACTCTGTCCATTATCGAAAGATCTCAAACCACGAACTCCAAGTTGAATGAAACACGAGGCCATTGCAAGGATACTGGTGTAAAAATGCTATTACTGTTAGCAGTTGCTCCTGGAGTCCCCGAGAAATATGCTAATATCGCAAATATATGGAGTACACTCTTGCACCTGAACAATTTCAAGTGCTTTGTTGCCGGGGATTTGAAGATTGTCAACCTCCTTAGTGGAATAATGGGACACAGCTCGACATTTCCTTGTCCTTATTGCACCGCACCGAAGAATAATCTTTGCAATACAGCTGCACAGCCTCGAACTCTCGGACATATTCGTGAGATGTCAGCGGCATGGAAAAGCCAGGGGTCCGCAAATAAACTGGCGAGAAACTTTTTCAATTGTATTGATGAGCCATTGCTGTGCGGCTCATCTGACGACCAAATCATAACCCTCTGTCCACCGCCTTCCTTACACATTACGCTTGGAATTATAAATGCAATCTACAAGAAGGTAGAATCCATTGATTCAGACACTGCTATGGATTGTGCAAGTATCAGTACCTGCCAACGTCACAGCAAATACGGATTCACCGGACGGAATTGCCACTAACTGCTGCAAAATCGACATGTTTTGCAATCTGATGGAACCTTGAAGTTGCTAAGAACTGCAAGTAATGTTATCGTTATTTTAATTATCGTTGCAATAAAAATAAAATAATATAATAAAAATAATTATATTGCAGGAACTCGATCAATTTGATCTTGTCTACAAGGGTTGTTTTCAAGAAAATCTATGTGAAGATTACGTAGAAAAGGTTGAGAACTTTTCTAGGACGTGGATTGCAGCCATCTTACCCAATAGCTCCAAATTCCATATTTTGCGATATCATGTCCCAGAATTTTGTAAAATCACTGGAAGTGGTTTGAGCAAATATGGGGAGCAAGCCAGTGAAACTGTACATTTCGATTTTCAAATTGTTTGGAATTGTGTCAAGGCCCCAGAAACCTCTGAATTTCTTCGCTTCTTCGTGCTGCAGTGATGTACAATAGTGGACATTTGTAAACTGTAAATTATTTTTAGTTATATTTTAAACAATCCTTGTTCACAATTGAATTCAATGAATAAAAATTAAAACATTCCTTTTTTAAGATCACAAATTAAAAAAAAAATCTAAATATTTGTCATGGCTACTTAGATAACCGTAGAAATGGCTAATGCGATATCCATAAGATTCAAATCACAAAGGATACATTTTTAAATGTTATGTTTTGAAAAAAATGTTCTAGACCCCCCGATAGAACATTTCGAGGTTAGTCTCATTTGAAAGGGGAGAGCATAAGCTTTCGTTTGGTGAGTATTTTAGCGATACTGATTTTTTTTTATTAATGTTTTCTACCAGAGACACCGTGTTGATACCAAACCTAACACCGTGACTCGACTCCAATTCCGTCATACGAGCTTCGATTCCGTCACAACACATTGTAATGCCATTTAATTCACTTCAGCATACAAATGAAGGGAGCTCCTCTTTTGTTTTCGAGAAGAAGAAATGTTAATATTCATATCGTAACACTGATTCGTCCACGTCAAAATCATTGATATATTTTACGTTTCTGTTCGATATGATGGAAATGGGTGCTTATGCTCTACCCTATATTAGAATGATCCAAAATCTTCAATTTTTAGTCGAAAGTGCCCAAACGAATTTAATATCGGGTATTGATCATCCTCTCAAAATTTGAACTGAGTTGAAACTGCTTATGCACGAATCATTTGAAATTTTTAGGAAACTTTTTGTTTATATTTTTCTAAAAATTCACCATTTAGCCCTAATAAATATTGATAACTGTACTTGTATGAAATTGTCTCAGCTACAAGTTTGAATACAGCTCAAATAGATGTTTTCGGAAAAGTTGTTCAGATTTAAGCTTGTCCACTTTGCAATGAACAGTTCACTGGTATACCGTTTGACGTATAATTGATAGCTTTAACTTGATAAGTCTGATTAGATAAAGCATGGACCACTTAGAACCTAAACGCAATGAATCAGCTCCATTTCGGGTCCCAGGCCGTATCGTGCTCTCTTGCCGTGCGGATCCGTTTGCTTTTGCTGAAGGAAGTGTTACTGCTACCCAGGCATGGAAAATCATTTACATTCATTTCATGCATTCATTTACATTCATTTGACTCTAACTTTTTTCATCAACTACATTCCGCAAAATGATGTATAGACCTTTAGTAGGTTTTGTTATAAGCTGCAACTTTTGGTCACATTTTAAA